ATTCGTTGATACTTAGGAGTCTTATGATAAGAGAATGATGACGAGAATACAACAAAAGTAGGCAAGTTGGACGGACAGCGCCGGTCTTATTGATCTATTACAAAAAGCAGAAACGTGACAATCACAACAGAGAAGTGGCAGGAAATTCTATCATTATAATGGAGTAAAATTGAGAGTATCGGTTCGAACTGTCGATAGCGATGATAGTCATCGTGTTATCGCCTCTAGAGGGTGACGATGGTGGCAATAGCAACAACATAGCCACATCGTGTAATCACAAAGCTGTCTTATTCAGGTCCACACCTGCGAGTTTCACTATAGCATTTGGAACCCTTATCACCGGACTGGGGTCTTCCACTGAATCTAAACGTCCATCACCAAATCCCGTCGAAGTCGTTGGGCTACCTTTTTTCGTGACCGATAGTTCCGCAATATTCCCTGTCGTCGATCTTCGATCATCATCTTCAGTAGCGCGTCTCGAAGAAGCCGTAGTCCGATCAACTGCTGGGGTCGGTTCTTGAGATGGTCCCCCATGCGGCATCTCGGGAGTAGTTATCTGTTTATTCGGTAGAGGCAAAGACCTTACCAAAGGCACCTACGCAAAAGTCCTCGAGAGGTGTGTCCTCGACCGTCTTATGAGTATCATCATCAAGGCCACTGTGCATGCATGGTAGTACCACTGGGGGGAAGGTCGATGGTAAAACCTACACCAACGAGGCTTCACAAATACGACCGATGGGAATGTACAAGATTGCAAAGGCTGCAGTCGTATTCGGAAATTAAATATTTCGCGATAATTCACTTCAGAGTGAAACTCCAGCGAAGCTCAGATATGAAAACGACCGATCACATACTACTTGTTAAGTGAAATTACTAGAAAATAGTAAATTGAAAGGTCATCATACTCAGGAGGGTTACTTCTATAAAAATGAGAAAGAGCAGATTCCACACGCCTCATGTCACAATACACCTATATCACAGATTGAGTAGAGTAGGCCACAATGGTCACACTAAATAAAACAATATTACTACCACAATTCTCACAATTTTGCTTTAGTTCATGATAAAGATCGAGTACTAGGAAGTACTTCCATGCTAGCCCAACGACCCACGGCAGTCCTATGATACGTTCATGAAGTTGATGGCGATAGTTGCCTCTACCTCCCCTTATTAATACCACAGTCCCCTTCCTCCTGTCGAACTTAGATCCCTTCCGTCGGGCCTTAGCGACACCGTACATCATATTACCACCTGGGCCTCGGTAATAGGGATTGTCGATGCAACCATGGGAAAGTGAATATACCCCTTTAATTTGCTCATACCTAAAGGGGCCTCCATCCCCACTGGGTCCATAGCCTGGCTGGACTTACGTTGTTTGGGCCGTGAAAACCAGATAAGTGTGGTAGAGGAAGAGCCCCACTGTAAACCACATGAATAGGGCACAATACACCAGTACTACTATGGTCATAGGACTTGCCTCTACTCCACCTGAATCAACCGATAAGGAACCTCACAGTAAGAGCCCTACTACTGCTACTACCTACGAAGCCTCCATTGGCATCAGAAAGGATAACCAGATGAGCGACTGATAGACCGAGCCCGAAGAGTGTCAACGCAGCAGTGCAAGTGATAAAGCTATAGAATATCCTGAAAATAATTGTGGTCGGGATGGTTGCATAAAACGGCAGTACCGATAGTTGCCGCCACCTATACATGTACCGACCCACGGACAATGGTGGTCGAATCTTGTCACGCAGGTGTCACAGGTCCCACAGTGGGTAGCCCTCGGGGGCCTATACAGGTGACATGTATGGCAATACCTACGAAA